TGTCACGTCGGACAGTCTGACGTGGCGTCGAATGAGAGGCGGACACGTCATCGACACACCCGCCCATTGAATTATCGCGAACAGTGCCTTTAAAGATTCCTCGACTTTATCCCAAAACAAGGTTATACTGTGTGCTTCTTAAGCTTTTCCTTCCCACGCTTTCTTTTGTAGTGTGAAAGCCATAATGAGCGCATCAAAACCTAAAAAAAGTTGTATCCGATGCAGCCATTTTTTTCAGATACACTGTACAATGCGCTTTGCTCATTAATATAATCAACGAGAAAGTATTCGCTTTTCTATGGTGCTGGTACCTGCTGTTGGTCGTCATCACAACGTAAGTCTCTTGGGTCATAAAATCTTTCGCAGAGATGGTTGCCTGGAGTATTTCAAGAGCTCAACCAAGAAATTTAATTTTTGTAGCATTTCGACGTTGTGTTGGATGATAAATAGCCTGTTGCCGTCCGAAAAAATTGACTACGTGCTCAAATTCATGCAAATCGCCCAATCGAGTGATATGAAGAAGCGGCTGAAATTTTTGAAGGTCATCATTGGCATATCATAGTTCAGTCACTTCCTTTTTGGACACTTCGCTTTTTTAGCATTGAAATAAGTGAGATTGAGACATAAAAAGTAGCTTACACTAAATCGGAAAGCCAACGAACCAGTCATTCAATCAATAATTATTGATTTCCACTTCAGGGAAATACGGTAGAACGCGTCTACTCGGTCATCCCGTTTGCGCCTCATCTCCTGGATCGATTCGTTCTTCAGTTTCTCAAATCTGATGGGGTTTGTGCGATGTTTTTTTCTTGAGATGAAATCTTGAACAGTTCCTTAGGCATATAGTTCAGGCCTTTCTATAGGCTGTCAAGAGCACAGCTTATAGCAGTGGGACAATCAATTTTTGGAAGAATAGATGAGGCCACCTCTTAACATGCTACCCCCTTGAAGGCGCGGTTCACGCTTATATTAATTATCCCTTTTAGTCAAAAAGCGGAAGTATAATTTGGCAACAATTCATGGGTAGTGGAGAAAGCGATGAATTCATCCTAGGGGATAGTATCTCATGAATCATTTTTACCGTGAACTGAGCCTTCAAAAAGCTCTTTAGTTATTTTTCCTCAGTCAATAAGTGGGAAGCCTATTTTTTGAGCTCACAGAAACTCCAGTTAACAGGAACTTGGCTGCAACACCATTCCTTATGTACCTTTTCTATTCCAACCTTTTGGGTTTATCGAGCAGTCTCTAGTCAAGACGAAATTCGCCGCATTTGGTGATCCTCAAAATGCTGCGGCTGACTTCCGTGGCACACGGTCCTACCCTATGTGGAGGGGTAGAAGAGGTGGCTCACCGCCCCGTTGGACCAATGTCATAGATAATAATGGCGATTATAGAACTTAATAAGTGAGAATAAAAACAAAAATGTAAATGAGTCTGAAAGATGCATCCAAGTATCTCAAGTCGTTTGCATCAACCTAATACCACATATTTAAATAATAAATATTAAATTATAATAATAAATGTTTGTTCTCTGCTGCCAACGCTTCCAACTTTAAATTTGCCTCTACGTACATTTCCTATATCCGTTTCTGAACCAGACAAGTATTCCTGTGATCCTATACGAAATTGTGAGATAATCACTTCTTACCTTGTATCTGTCAACCTTTCGTCTGAGGCATAAGTGTGACAGTGGTGTACCCATAGCTTACCACTCTAATAGAATTTTTATGGCTCTTTCTTTCTATTCTCAATTTTTTGATCTGTTTGATCGTGGGATTTTATAGGTTTTTATTCTGCGAATGATGGCGAATCATGCCGGTGATATTGTGGTGGTTCATGTGGTGAAAGCGCTCTGGCAGGAATTTCGAGAACGGAATTGGCGTGAGTTCGAGGAATTCGAGGAGCTCAAAGACCAACATTTTCGGCACCTTCCCAAGGCAGCGATGGTTGTGGGGTGAGTCGTGTGCGCTTTCTATTATTATAGCACAGCAATTATCTTACGTAATTCTGATCTCAGTTGAAATTGATGAAAAATTTGCGAAATACTTTCTATTATTTGCTCGATCCTGTAGCCTCACATCAAGTTTGGGTGGGTCTTACGAATGGAATAAAGAATTTTATGACCTAGGGTCTCTTCGTAGTCGCTTCTCTTGAGCTCGTCCTAACTTCTTCGCTTCTCGCCCAATCCAGTCGCTTCCGACCGCCTATAGGCTCATTTCAGTATCCTCATTCCGGCGAGGCTGAGTTGTCCCTCACGATGCTCGCCTACCAGCTAGCACTTGCTGTCGTAGTACACCTTACATCTGCTCAGACAATCTTCTCTTCGAGCTTTCTGACTGTCAATCGCGAAGGATTCTGCTGAACTACCTGCGCTTCATCCGTGTCGCATTCATTCGAGCCTTCACAGCCTAATTCACGCTACATACCTTCAGCGCTGCGATCATGTCCCAGGCACGAAGGCTTTGTACTTTTCACCAAATTCATGACTCATTCTGTAGTTGCATCTGCATACTCCTCCCAACTAGGTAACTTGTTCTTCTTCACTAGCCTGAGCCTATCTTTTGCCAGCACGCTTTGTTAATTTCTACGGCTTCTCCTGGCCGTCTTTCCCTCGCTGCGCTATTAGAACGATGACATCAGCCTAGAGGATGGTCTTGAGTGGTTCCTTCACGAGGCCTTCTGTGATGAGATCCAGTGTTAGTAGGAAGAGGAACGTGCTCAAACTCTAAACAACTCGAGCGGGAGCAACCAACAACGGATAAGCTCAAGTGCTCTGGAACGTTTCAATGTCGGAGCCCTTCCTAGAAAACGTACGCTGACGAATCCTGCCTTCCATTCTTTAACTTCCTTTCATTGTGAAGATTTCATCCGGAGCAGGCCTCTAACATCCTGAGCATGCATCCGAATTGTTGTTGGGAGATCGGGACTTACGAATCTTCAGAAGCTCAATGTATGGCTCTTGAATGTTCAAAACCCTATCTCCCAGAACATTAAATTGTGTATTTATTTAGGCCAATCAATTTTTATTTAGGACCCCGTCAAGCCAGCAAGCTCGTGTGGTCACCATCAGCAATCCAGTATCTACCATTATGAACGATTCAATGAATAGCGAAAAGGGTTATCTCTGACACTCTCGACATGCAACATTCGTTCCTTTCTGACGAAGTGCCTTATTTCAATACTGCCGTGATCTCTACTTAATAATTGTTTTTAATTCTCTGTGAAACTTGTTTATTACTATTACAAAAAATCGATTATTTGCTTGTCACTTTTATGTGTAAAACTTTGCAACTATATAGCGCCACCGTGTGGTTTACTGTATTTGCATGCGTTTGAACCACCTGATCTTTACTGTTTATTTATCCCTGACTGAAGTTCAGGAATGCGATAACCAAACAGGACATAATCGTAGTAATACATCCTAATGAGGAGATCAAGCAGGTGAGGGTTGGACAAGATCGCACGCCTCGTCTCATTATGTTCTACAGTGTCTTTCGTGCTGTGCGATGTCCTCCTTGATTCGATTGATGATTCTGGAATGGAATACGTTCTGTCCTAAGTAGATTTTCCTTAGTCTACCCTCAAGATGCTACCCTGACCCGACAACGTTTTAGCGTCGCAATTACAAAGAACAACATGAATGACCGTTGCTCCTCGTTATCCCTACTCATGACTTGCCTTTGTCGAATTGTTCTCAAAGTAGTGACCTTTTGGGAGACCTTTATACTAGGTACCAGTAAATAATATTACCGTGCATTTTCTTTTGAGAGCATGACCAACATACGTACCCTTAAAACTAATAGACTAAAAACGAAAAAACGACCTCACTGGTAATGCTTCTGTCCTTGCCTTCTATGCGAACTGCCTTTGTAGTCACCTATGTAACTATACTCCGTGTGTAATACCGTACCTTTACTTACCCATGGTTGTTAAGTGATCAGCAGTAGCTGGTGAAATTGCTTGAAAACGGAAGGTCGCTTTTGTCTAGAGAAGCGAAACCTTCGTTTAGCTCCTTCCATACTGTGCACGGTGGCGTGGATTTTGATGAAGGAATACTTTTCCAACTGAGAAAGGCCCCTCCATTGCTGGCCTTCTTCACATTTTGCAACTAGAATAGTCGCCATCCACCGCTAGGAGGGGATATTGGAGTGATCTTCTTGAAAGAAATGAAAGCCTCCCTTCGCTTAGTGGCATAAAGAAAAAGATGAGAATCATACAGCAAATGAATGGTGCTCTCCAAAAGGACCCTCTCACTAATATTCCAGCAGCTGCATGTAGCAAGTAGGAAAGGAAGAAAAACCTACTTATAAAATGCAGCGACTTTTGCGTTACGTTATTCTTCTTTAGAACAGCTAAAAGGCTATCTGTGAAGCCGGACGGTTTTGATGAANCAAAAAGCAGTCATATAAGTTGCCTGCAGATTTTCAAACTGTGTGGAAATTCCTCGTTCAATAGGTAGAGGCTAACCAGTTTTGTGGAGAGAAGTGATCGTCGTCGAAGTTCACTGGCGAGTTAATTCCTGTACCCCTCTTCAACAACCTTGCATACTGTCGCTCCATGAAGCATTTCAGATTCTACAAAAAAGACTCTGAGGCTATTCTTATAGACAGTCTTTTCATAGTGATATGTTATACGACAACTTCCCACCGTTTTACATTTGTTACAGCGGTTCGGAAACTTTTTCCAAGTTTGTTCTCTGAAATACAACGAATAGCTATTGATGGTACATGTTGGAACGGTACATTTCGGGTGTTTCAAGTACCAAATTCAAATTCGCTCCCTTATACCCCTCTATTCTACCACCATCACATCAATAGAGGGGCAGGATCTAGCTGATGGCAAGCCACTCGTTCAGCTCTTAAGGGAAGAATTGGTCAGGGAGAGGGTCTGGTGCAAAGCGGCGCCCTGTTGCGTGAAAGTTGTAGGCAAAAAGTTTGAAAGTAGGCGTCGGAAAGTCAGAAGTAGAGTCT